AAAGTTTGTGTTGTCTTCTTTTTCTAATCGATGACTGTTGTTTTCCGTCATTGATGAGGGTAGATGAAAATTGTATGGTGAAGAAAGAAAGAGTATTCATTGCATTTAACGCAAAACAATGTTATTGATATGATTGATGCATATAGGTTGGTTTAACCTCAGACAATACTGTTTTCATGAAATCAGAAAAATAATGTTTTAACCTTCGGGTAATTTACTCAAATAATCAGTTCATTAAAGTAATTTCACTTTTTAGCCATTTTAGAAATCTTTTTCTTTGAATAGCCAAAGTTGACGAAAAAAAGTTTACGCAGAAAAGAGATTTTCTACGTAAAGTTTATTTTCAGGAAAAATAATTTAAAAATTGAACTTTATGCAAAAAAAAAAAAAAAAAAGAGGAGATTTTATGTAGAAAAGCTATTTTATGGGGAAAAATAATAATAATAATTTTTTTAAAAAATTAGGGGACTTTATGACAGAATTCTATTTTATTAAAAAAATTATATTTTACACCTTTATAAGTTATAATTAGTTATTTACTTTATTTTATATCATTTAATTTTTTATTTTTTATTTTAAATATTTATTATATTAACACACAAAATCGTATATCAATTAAAATAAATAAAAATATACGTTTCTTCTTTTTATCAATTACACGATTATAATCATCTCTTCAATGCGTTCAAAACGAACATAAAATTAAATATTTTTTGCTTTAATTATATTATTAAATATCATAAATACATACGAATTATTTTTAAAACTTACATTTTCTACCCTTATGATTTTTTTATTTAATCTATAACTATAAGAGTATAGCATCTAAGTATTGAAAATAATTTATAATTATTAATATAAAAGTATTAAAAATAATTTGTAATTTATTTAATATTTAATAACATAAAATTAAATCAAAAAAATATTTAATATTGAGCTTATTTTGAACGTATTAACAAGACAATTATAATGGTGTAATTTATAAAAAAAAAACATATTTTTTTTATATTTTAGTTGATATACGATTGTGCGTGTTAATACAATAAATGTGTAAAATGAAAAATGAAAAAAATAAGAGATATAAAGTAAATTAAACAATTAATTATAAGAGTATAAAATGTAAAAAAAACAATCAATTACAAACTTTACCCAAGAAAATAAATTTTGAACGTAAGAATTAAAAAAGAGTGTAACACCCCATTCCATATCTATACTATATTATAAATCAAATTTAGCAAAAGTCTTAAATTCTTAAAATACTAAATGACCAAGATACCCTTTATATACTTTTTCTCCCCCTCATCTCCTCACATGCACTCACACCCTCACAACCGATTTTTTTAAAATTATAATTTTAAATTTATACTTTATACCCCTATAATTAGTTAATTAATTTACTTTACGTCATTTACTTTTAAATGTTTCATTTTAAACGTTTATCGAATTAATATACATAATCAATTAAAACATGTTTAAAAAATACATTTTTATTTTAACAAGTTACATCATTATAATCGCCTCTTTAATACATTCGAAATGAGTCCAATATTGAATAGTTTTTGACTTAATTATATTATTATACATTATATAAACTGTGAAAAAAATATTTTTAATATTTACGATTTATATTTTTATAGTTATTTATTTATATATATATATATATGTATATATACACATACTATATATTTTGGGGTTTGGTTGTCCAAATTGCACTATATAATATGTTTTGAATTAACATGTTCTTGGGTTTTTTTGAAATATATATATATATATATATATACATGTATTAATTCAACCTTAATCTGAGTTTCTGGACAAGAAAGAGGGTAAACAGTTGAAATTTCATTCTAAAACTCATCTTTTTTGGTCTTTTCATGGCTTATGATATGTTAAATTTGTAGTTTTCTTTATTGGTTTTGAGTGTTTATATTAAAACTCAAGTTTCTTGGTTCTTTGTTCTTGGTGTAAATCGAACACATTTATGGAGTCGTTTAAATATATTGGATTTTAAACTGGCATACAATTTTTTTATTGATAGTCTGTAATTGGAACCATAACTCTTATTTATTCAAATTGTATTAATATGTAAAGACCAAGTATAATATATATCATCGTTAAATCTTATCTTATAAAACCAATGAAACTTCAAAATCGTTAAAATTCATGGCTCCCGCCGCATTGCGCGGGTACACAACTAGTATGCATAAAATTCATATATTTCATATAACATGAAATACAAATATACATATTAGTTCCAATATATACAAAAGTAACTAACATATTTTTCATTTATATCAAGTATATGACTTGCAGATATAACAAGTTCTCAAGTACATATACAATAACAGCTTCCCAAAATTCACAGATGTAAAACAATCATAATATCCTTCACATTTTCCTTTCCCTTTACTCTCCACATGTGCCCAACCTGTTATGCACATTTTTAAAACAAAACGGGGGTTAGACCATAAAATCTAATGAGAAATCCTTTTTATTACTATTAGAAGGTAGAAATCACCAAAACATTTTTAGTAGGCCCATATTTGTAATAATAACAAATAAACAATATTTTATCAAAACAAACCTCTTTGTCGCATCATATGGATGAGACAACATCATCTTTATCGCATCAAACCAATTGAGGTGTCAAATTATTTAGTAATTATTTACAATAAAATTAGAGCGCTGAATGGTTAAGGGATGCTCATGATACAAAATCATTCAGGGGGTTTTAGAATTATTAAGACGCATACTTTGTTTTTGTCAAACAGTATTCACCTTTTAACAATTCAAATGTTGTCTCTTAATGAAACTATTAAAAGGTAAACAAACAACCCCTTGGTTATGTAATGCCTTGAGGAAGTTAGAAGAACCTCTTGAACAAAATAGTTGCACTATAATCATCTATGTTTCTAGTGGTAATTTCAGAGCATCTCTAACAGATTTTTCAAAAAAAAAAAAATTTAAAATCCTTAAAGAATATTACATTCAACTCTAATAATTTATTAATTTTAAATATTGTAATATTAATTATATTCCATATATTTGATAAAATATTGATTCTATCCTAAAGTTTAATTTTAAAATTTCTTATTAATAAGAAAATATTTATCTCTTTTTAACTTCTTCTTTTTTCATATGTTTATGTTGTTTAATGTGATTTTAATATCCTTGTTGTTCTAATCGTTGCATTCAATAAGTTAACGGACACGTCATTAGAGAAAATGAACTTGCCCATAACAGCATCGATACACATTTTTTTATGCAATTACAAATAGTTTTTCATTACACATGACATGTTATATGGTTAGAATTTGGTTGTCAGACTTTTACCTTTTATAATCGCATTTGCAAGCTCTATATGTATATAAAATTATATATGTAGAACCATCACATTAATTATATATTTATTTTAATAATTATATATGTTTAATTAATGTTGTAGTGGGAACCACTTTAAAAAATGTAGGAGAATTGCATGTGTATATATGGTAATTGTAAAAGTTAGGGCTTGTTTGTTTTTTGAAAAAAACCACTTAATGTCTCTTAAGTCTGAACCGGTCAGACGTTTTTATTTTCAGACCGTTTGTTTTTTTATATAAATAAGAGCTGAAATCTCTTAATTTGTTCTGAAAAAAAGTGATAACATATCACTTAAATCCTCTTAATCGCTCTCTCCAGACTCTCCCCTCCATCCTCACCTCCAGATTTAGTCCTCCAAATCTATCTCGCAAGACATTCGATCTCCAAATCAATCACGACCCAGATCGATCCACGTATTCTCGTAAATTCATGACCCAGATCGATCCAAATCTATCATATCCAAAACTTGACTGATTCAAATTTCAGACGTAAAAACAAACAGTCTGACTGATTCAGATTTCATACTTCAGTACCACCTCTTAAAATTTAGAAGTGAAATCAGACTTCAGATTTCAGAACCTCTTAAAAAACAAACGCCACCTTAATGTGACACAAATGAAAGCATAAACAAGTTTGTGGATGGTCTAAGCATCAAGGACCAAGAGAGTAAGAGGGTGAAATGGTCTGGTTATCATGCCATTATGAATCCAGAGATTGCAGACCATTTTACAGTTGTCAAGTTCATGTTAGGCAACTGTTGGATTCCTGAAATGAGTGTGCCTTTTACACTGGGTTTGAGAACAAATAAACAGAATGTATAAAGTAGTTTATAATAGAAGTCCATTAAATTTTATTGAAGATCTAATATAACGCACATACATGTCCGAAACTAGGCTAGTTGGTGAAGCCAATGCATAAATTAACTAAATACAAAGTAATTTATGTTCTTATGATTAATATTTAATAACTGTCTAAATTAACTAAAAAATAAAAAACGGAATTTTGAGAAAAGTAAATTGAAAGTTTAAAAAGAATAAAATACAATAAATAAAATTACGTATTTGATGTTTTAGAAATAAACTAAGAATTTTGATGGTGTATTAGTAAAATATAAACTTGTTCCATCTTTTTTCCATATAAAGCGGGGATGGAACAAACCTCTTTTAGTTTGTTTCACTCTCTTTTCTCCATGTTCCACATAAATGTCATTTCATACATGAAACTAGGGGTGTTCATGAGTTGAGTTGAGTTGATCTAATTGAAGACATTTGAACAACTCAATATAATGTTTGTGGTTTGAAAAATCTTAACCCAAATCAAAGTGCAACCCAACCTAAACTGTACAGGTTAGTCGGGTTGATACTTTGGTACATAAAAATATTCTTCTAACCTTGAATATGTTATTTCTTTACTCATAATTTTTTTTTTCATCATCAACCATTTGATACAACTTATCCATATTTTTTACGTATATCACATTCAATTAATTTTTTCAATATATATATATATATATATTCACAGTTACTAAACATATATACAAATGAGTTATATAAAAATGGAGAATAGATTGAAGGAGACCTCTTATGGCTTTTGGAAAACAATGGGGGTGTTAAATGTAAATTATTGCTAGAAAAAAAGGAGGGTAAACAGAAGGGCAGCAATTACCCAAATCCTTTGATGATCTGAAAACCATCTCCTCTCCTGGTGATCCTCCCCTTGGCGTTTCTTCCAAAATTGTCGGTAGGTATTTTTGTTCATTTATTAGAATTTGTATGCATTTCTATTGTAATTCATGAAAGTGGGAAGCTATTTTTGATCGATTTACTGTTCAATTCGTCAATTTCAGTTCAAGGGTTTTCTGTGCGTTTCTACTTTTGTTTTGAAGTAATGGTATTTGGGTACTCGGGATGAACTTTGATTGTTTCTTTCATATGACTGGACATGTGATTTATGTTGATTTCGTTTTTGTGGCTGAAGATTTTCGTTATGGACACTCGTATTATCTAGAAAAATGAGAAGTATGTGAACAACAGACAGATATAAACAGGTGACGAAGGTCGCCGGAAAGAAGGTCTCTGGCTAGGGTTTTGAATGGAGGCGTGAGGCGTGTTCGTAATCTGGAAGGAGGCGTGTCTCAATTATAGGGGATAGAGATGTTTTTATTTTGGCTGAATGGGGACAAGACAACATTTCCTTCTGCGCGAATAAGCCGCAAGTAAACTGCCTAAACGAGCTGTGCGAACAAGCCAATTACACCATTAAGCTCATTAAGCCGCAAGTAAACACCCATTAAGTCACATAGGTGAATAGCATTGGGGGGTGTGAATTGCAGAATGAATTTTCTTTGATAAACCATCATTTGGAGTAGGTTTATGTTTCTTGGTCACATTACAATACAACCATAATGTTTACTTTAAGAAAATTGAATTGGTGAGCCTCAATTTAAGATGGGGATGGACTACTGTATTCTATGCGCATGTAACAACTCACTTGCGTGCTCTTCATGAGACACGAGTGAAAGTTCTTCAAGGATTAGATAAACTTAAGTGTTGGGAAGATAATTTTGATGTAGATAGGAGGTTCGGTCCAGTTTAGAGTATATGGTTTACTTTTGTGTGCAAACACAATATTGAGCATCAAGAGAGGAAGGACATTGACTCTTTGGCACTCTGGACTAATAAGGAACGGCTATCTTGAACATATGAAAACGTACTTCAGAGGCCCACCATTCCCACATATAACATTTGACTTGACATGTCATTTAATAATAAATTGTTTTGACTATTTATCGAATGTATAGAATGTCCCTTAACAAGGACAAATAAAGGTAACTCATGGATCAAAATTGAAGATACTATTTCAAGAAATGATTACTAATAGGCAAAAAAGAAAAGTACCATTGAAAATTTACCAAACAAAATGCGATTTTTTTAGAGAGTAAAAAATGGAAAAAAGTAGCATTTTGTTGACTGGGAGAGTATCAATCGTTCTTCTTCTTTTTCTTCTTGCTGCATCAGTATTGAGAAATCCTCAATGAATTTTGGCCATCAACTCTAGCTTGCTTGCAGATTTATTGACATATCTGCAGTTACAATTATGAAGGTTTTCCAGCTTTCACTTATGCTTCTAGGTGCTGCGCATTTTTTGGTTTGTTAGAGAGGATCTGTTCAAGAAAGCAGTTTTTTTATGTCAACACTCAGCCAAAATAAGCTGTTTTTAACTTGTTATGCCATGTACTAATACTATCAGAAGTGACTATTATACTCATCACTGTTGGAAATTGAATGTCAACACTTCAACTCCAGCATCCTGGATATAATCATATAACATCGTAGACCATATAGTTTTATGGCTTTTGCCACATCCATCATATTTCATCTATAAATTACTGATGAAGGGTTTAAGTTTCATAACTTGTTGGTTGTCAGAAGTCATTGATGCAGATGTGACTTCATGGGCTGCTTTGACTCCATAGAATCCAATATCAGTATATCATATGTAAAAATGTCAACAGAATGTGTATTCAACGTGTTACCAAATTAATATGGACTGCAGTCATGCATGCTGCTGTTTCATGAAAGAGGGAACACAATTTAAGAGAGAGCCATGCAATAAACACCCCTTGTAGTCTGTGCCTAAACATGAGTAATTGTTGAATATAATTTAGTTATGGACTGTATTATTTGATGTCTTCTGGCTGATTTTTCTTGACATTGTCCCTTATGGTTTTTGTATTTTATTTCTCCCTGGCCATAAAATTCCCCATCTTATGTTGGGTTTTTTTGGATTTTTCAATTAAAATAAAAGAAATTATTGTGGGCATGCTCATAGTTTTTCTTGTTCAGAACCTTTTATGAGCTTTAGAGCTTTGGATAAGCCACCATAGAAAGATCTGTCGGAATTTGAAGGCATGCTTTAAAACTTATGCTTGCAGTTATCCTGCATTACTGTCATTTGGGGTCTTTATCTTTTTGTTATGATTCATCAAATTATATCAGGTGGTTTTGTTCTCGAGGTCTTTCAGTTTTATCTTTTAATGGAACCATTACTTATTTAACTTATTTAACATCACTCGAGCAAACTTGCTCTTTTATCTTTCTTGATATCATTCAGTTCCGTTTCATTATCTGAATAGCTTGTAAGCTTACTTGTCAAGCAGTGGTTTCTATAAACAGCGAGAAGAACCTGGCTCCAACCAATGGAGAAAGGAACAGCTTCTAGGTGAATGATAGTTCATGTATGGAGAGGTTCAAACAACTTCAGCAAGAAAAGGGAAAAGGTGATAAAGTAGAGGCATCTAGAATGGATCCAACTTTATCAGTGCCCGGAAAACCTAATCCTGTTATTAGTAGTAGTGGCTCGGTGTCTAGAGCTAGTGATTCTCGCAAAATGAACCCGGCTCCTTCCTCTGGCAAACTTACATTCAGCCTAAAACAAAAATCGAAGCTTGTCGCACCTGCTGTCAAGTTAAGTGAAGACGAGGATGAAGATGAGAAGAATGCTGGCAAAGCATCAGGTGGTGGACCAATAAAAAGGCAAAAGTTGGACCAGCCTGATGCATATGATCGGTCACTAAAACAAGTTGTTGTTGGTAATTACATCTTATATTATTCTACCTATTTCACATTGACCTGAGAGTAGTTTCATTACTTCAATAATTATGATCACTCATTTCGCACATCAGCAATTGCATGCATATATCTGGTTTGTGCAGATGCATTGATTCAGGTATATAGATCTTCTCAAGGGTTTGTAGGGATTACTTATGAATAAAATATCCTACTGTTCTCTCTGTGGTTTTCACATGACTCTGTTCTCCTTAACCGTTTAAAACATAAGTTGGACTGTAAACATCATGTTAGTTTTAGCACCCCCAAAAATGTCTATGAAGCTTTCCCTCTGTCCAACTGTTCAGTAATTTAATGTATTAATTGATATGCTCTTTGGTCATAGTTATATAATGCACGCCCTTGTCTTTTGAATACTAAATAAATTTGTTAAAATGATTTCACCAATTAAGGAAATAGTTTGTTTTATCTGAAGTTCATTTTTCAGATGCTAGCTTCTATAGCCCCTCTTGGTTCCCCTCCAAAAGAAAATTCTTATAGTGGATGTGTAGCTGTAAACCTGCCGTGCACTGTTTGACTGTTTGTAGTTTTTCTCAAATAAGATGAATGTTTTAGTGGTTGGAGGAAAGTCAGTTTTCTGAAGTGCATTTTTGCAAGAGATCTATCTAATTAGAATGTGATGTGAGGCATGTTCATTTCATTGTGTACTTGGAGAAAATTTCAGGCTTATACTACCAAAATGGTGTGAAGAGGACAAAACATTCTTGAATTACTTTTATCTGATGAATGCAGCTAATACATAATACCTCTGTCAACATTGGTGGAAAGGGATGTTCAGTGACAGATTTGGAATCTGTGGCAGCCTGCTACAGGAATAATTTAGATTCCCTTGTTCATGCTCTTGATTTAATTGGTTCTTAAGTGACATGCAGCACCACCATGTCCAAGTGATCCCACAATAAAGAAGGTCGCAGAAAAATTAGCAAGTTTTGTGGCAAAAAATGGAAGGCAGTTTGAGCATATCACACGGCAAAAGAATCCTGGAGATACCCCTTTCAAGTATGTTCATTACAGTTGCAACTATGATTGGATTTTTCTTTGTACTTTGGTCCAAGAATTATATGTGCACATGCCTGGCTGCTACTGGCTTGTCATCTCTATTCACATGTTTTTGAGTATAATCTCTATTTACTTGAACCCACCATTAGGTGGAAGGAAGTATGTGGTGGAAGTGAGTTGACGCTGTTAGTATGAATTTACTACCTTTTTGTGTTTAAACATTATAAATCAATTTTTTGCAAAACCAAATCAAATGTACCTAGTATATCCCACTCGGAAGTAAGATCTGTGAGATATGATGTACGCAGACCTTTTCTCTACCCCTGTGAGTAGAGAGGCTGCACGTTTAGTTCTTCTTTCTCAACGTGTCTATCTCTATGCACACATATATAGTATCATATATTTCTTTGCAGTGATTTTGTTCAAACTGTGCTCCATACTGCTATGTAATTTTATATAGAAACAAATAATCGTGCGCCAACCTATGCAATATTTTTTCTTTCTAATTTCTATATTATTGGATGTGAATGCTATACCATCATCGACACCATGTGCTCACAACAGAGAACATCTTAAAGTTGATGCTCTGACTTCTTTGCAGATTCCTGTTTGACGAAAGTAGTGCTGATTACAAATATTATGAATACCGACTTATTGAGGAGGAAAAGGCTCTGGTGCAATCTGTAGACTCCCAATTACCACATACTGGTTTGTGCAATAGCCCTAAATGCTATTATTTTTGTTGCACCATGCTCATGGTATTTGTTGAGGTGCAACATTCCTGCTGAATCAGGAGGAGATACATTGTAATTGGATTTCATGATGAAAGCGCCTTGTTTAAATAGTTTTAGTTGTTTAGGTTGTAGATTGATGGTCATAGGTTAAACATTTATATTACAAAGTCATAACTCCTAAAATGGTTACCAGTTTTTATTTTTAGATACAGCCTTCTTATATGCATTATATCATTGCTTTAATCTCGTGTAGATTCCAAACAGTACTCCCTTAACATTTGGAAATCCTAAAACTACTCTATTTCTGGGAAAAGACACTAAAATAAGCCACAAGAACTGTGTCAACTCCACCCTGATCCTATGAGGTTAGTACCTTTAAGAAAAGTAAATTGCATCTTTTTTGTCTGAGAAGTTCACTAGTATGACCTTTCTTGCACACCTTACAGTTTTTCAATCAACTATGTTTTGTTCTACAAGGGACCTGTTCCAGACCAAGTGATTCTTACTTTATTGAAGATTCATGTTTCTTATTGTTTGTGTAAATTTTTATATCCGAGTGTTTGATGTTTACACATAATGTAACCATTGTCATCCCCCTTTCCCCATCAGCCTAAACTGTGTAAAATTGCTACGATAGGTGCTGCCAAGCCTGCTACTACTAGTGGTTCTCAAAGATCAGATCAGCAATCTTCCAATTACCAGATCCCTGCTTCAGCTTTATATGAAGCTACTGATAGTGCACAATCTGATTTTGGTAATTGATTTGTTTCCCTGTTGTTGCTTTCTTTCATTGAGATTTGCACTTAGGTTGTAACTTAAGCATTTTGGTTTGTGCTGTTACTGCTGTAGATCACACAAATTTAGTAGATGGCAGTGCTTGTAATGTCAATAGTCATATGCAAATTTAACAACTACTCCCTCCGTCCCAAAAATAATGTCCACAATAAAAAAGGCATGCAGTTTTAAAAATGTGTAATTATTACACTTGTAATTAACTAAATGGCAGTTTTACCCTTAATAATAGAGGAAGTAATGAATATTTCTATCTCATAATTAAGGGTAGAATTGGAAAGTAGACTTTTATTTTTGAAAGTGGACATTATTTTGGGACAAACTAAAATAGAAATGTGTACATTAATTTTGGGAGGAGGGAATACTATTTACTTCCATCACAGAATTTGAAATTAAGGAACTCGATTTCAATGTTTCATGTTTTAACTTGCATAGAAACACCAGGTTTATAAGACATTTATGGTGAAGTTGATAGTCTGAACCTCGAATATGGAAAAATGCATTCTCAGACAGTCAAACAACTTGTATTTTATCTTTTGGTAATTTAAATTAAGGTTCAAAGAACTTAGTTTGTGATTGATTAAGTATGAATTTTGTATAATAGTGCAGCAGTCTGCTGATGCAGAACAATGTTAAACTGTCATGCTGAGAGGCATTCTATAAATCATTTCTACTTTCTGTAACTAGACAAAGATGAAAAACTAAAAATATGCATATCATGGACATTGAAGTATGTTAAATTCCCTACGCCATTAGTCTCAAATCACAATTCATATTCCCCAGTTGGATCTGCCTCAAATTTTCAAAATGGTCGCGAGTGTACTTCAAAAAATGTGCACACATTTTAAACGATCAGTACATATTTTTTATAATATTAGTTAACTGGGATGATGTGGCCAAGTAGTAGGGCTCCAATGCAACAAACTTTGTTTGTTTCCCACCTTGATATTTTTGGTTTCAGGAGTTAACTTCACATTATCAACACTACTGCAAGTTGCACTAATAATAGATAGAGTTGTTTTATTAACTTTGCATCAATAATAGATAATCACAAATTTTGAGTCACTGGTTACTTTGTCATCACCTACCACTTAGCAAAGCAACAGAAGAGTCGTTATCTCTACAGGCCTATAGCCACACGCCAAAAAAGAGCAAGTGGGGGAAAATACAGAAAGCTGGGGGGGAAACTAGAGGATGCTGTGGACACATATTGAGCGATTTATCTTATTTTAGTGTATGTCTTTTTTAGTCGTTCCTGATTACCACAAACTGCATTCTACTTGGTTTTGATAGAAGCCAAACTTTTATTCATCTTTGAAGAAGCTTGATTTTCCGAGTTGCATTACTTCTCTTTCATTGATTACAGGTGTATGTATTTATTAATGTGTCGGTTTTTCTTTTAGGGCCAATATTAGTTATTGCATGAGGTAGTCAACTCATATTAAGACTTCATGAGGGTTTAAATGCAACGGAAATTTCCTACTGTAGGTGAATCTACTGCTTCATCAGCTTCAGATCCAATAGCTATGATGGAATTCTATATGAAAAAAGCTGCACAAGAAGAAAAGAAGAGACAGCCAAAACAGTCTAAAGACGAGATGCCACCACCTGCTTCTCTCCAAGGTGTATATTTGTTACTCCCTAGTCCCTACATCCCAAAATAAGTGTCCACGTTTCTAATTTAGTTTGTTCTAGAATAAGTGTTTACTTTCAAAAGCAAGTGCCTACCTTCCAATTCTACCCTTATGAGATGGAGAAATCCATTACTCTCTCTATTATCAAGGGTAAAATTGTCATTTAGTTAATTAAAAAGTGTAATACTTACAATTTTCTAAAATTATGTGCCTTTTTCATTGTCGACATTTATTTTGGGCGGAGGGGATGCTTGGCCGGATGTTGTCCTAGTCTTTTATATTTTCCACTTTTTGGTGAGTCTTGAACCCTTGACCTCCACGGAGGTTGGGCTCTACTAGTATCCCGGATACCGTTTGGCCAATGTCCCTTTCTTCTTGCGGAAATACATATCATGATATTCACTTCTATCTCACATTATGTATCACGACAGGTCCCGGTAAGAGGGGTCATCATATGGGTGATTATATACCTCAGGAAGAGCTGGAGAAATTCATGGCCAGCTGTAATGATGTTGCTGCACAAAAAGCAGCCAAGGAAGCTGCAGAGAGAGCAAGAATCCAGGCTGACAATGTTGGCCATAGACTTCTGTCCAAAATGGGTTGGAAAGAAGGTAAGCTTCTTGCTTTTTTAAATTTTAGTTCCCTTCATAGATTCCATTACTCCAGTTATGTTCTGGGAAATTAGCTAGTAAATTGTTTTCTTTAAGCTATCCTGGTAAACTTTTTCTTATGTACTACCAATATGTCATCTTTCACATGCATTTTAGAGCATCTCCAGTAGTTCCTCCAAAATGGAGAAGCAGATGTCAAAATTTCTAAGAAAAATTGCATTCAACTCCAACAGTTTCTCTATTTTGGAGATTCCAACATTAATTGTATTATCAAAATATTCATTAGTATAATCCTCTCTCTTCTTTCATTTAACTTTATTGGTATGTTGGGGAGTTCTTTTTTGGGAAGAACTAAAAAGTCATCCTCTCTCTCTCTCTCTCTGTTCATTTAGTTTTGGAAGATCCTCCAAATTTATAGAAAATTTCCCCCTCTCTCCTACTTTCTCCATTTTGGAGGAGCTGTTGGAGATGCTCTTATCTTTTCCAAGGAATCTGTGTCATGTTTTGAATGCATATATGGGTGAATGTCTTGATGTCCTTCCATATCAAAACCTGGTTCCTCTTCAAAGCTAAAAAGATCTCCATAAGAACATGAATTGACAAAATAACATTCTTTAAATTGGGAAATCATGTCCCTTTCACATAATCTTGGTATGAGGTTGGTACCCAAACAAGTAATTGCTTTGTGGGTTGCCGAATTCACTTTTCTTGATACTAAAATTGTACGATGGACTCCTCACAAAGACAAAATTACTTACCCGCCTGTCCCAGCAGCCAGTTTTATTTCCTATAATTTGCAGTGATCTTGCCGAGGTGGTCCATGTTTATTTCAAGAATCATTCTTAGATCTTGGCCAAGTACTTTGTGCCATTTCAGTGAATAAGTCTGCATGGGAAACTTTCAACAGGATTTTTAACAAGTTATCCTTTATTCCAATTGTAATAGAACATTGTGCTCTAAATAAGTTATGCTGCCAGGTTTTTTTATTGATGATGCTCACTTGCTTCTTGATTCTGACAATAACTCACAGGCGAAGGGCTTGGAAGTTCTAGAAGTGGCATCGCAGATCCAATTACAGAAGGTAATGTTAAAAAGGATCACCTGGGTGTCGGTGCTTCTAATCCAGGGGAGGTAACTCCTGATGATGATATCTATGAGCAGTATAAAAAGCGTATGATGCTTGGTTACCGTCATAGACCAAATCCTCTGGTAAGTATTATGTGCCTGCTTCTCTCATTTTTAAATTAGTTCCAGATTATTCTCTTACATTAAAATTGACCGATTGATTGGCTTTTTGGAAAAGTGTACTTCCCTTTTTCATTGCAAACTAACTAAAATTGCCAAAATCACACTTTAGTTTGCGAGAGTGTGGAACAATAAATGCCAAAAAGAAAACCTTCTTACATGGCATTTTTGTGTTGAATGCTCATTGTTGCGAATTGAAGTGTTTCCTTTTGCATTTTTGAAAGAGATATGGTTTCTTAGATCAGCCAACTACAGTGATCTAACAAGTCATTTACTCTGCATTTATCTTGGAAGTTGATCTGCCATTGATTTATGATGGTTTCATTAATTACTTCTTATAAAGTTCATGTTAAAGAGTACACATAACATCCTTTGAGAATTACTAGAGTTCCCATCACATAATCTTTTTTTTCTGGGAAAAAAATCCATTTTTGAGAACTGTATCGACTTGGAAAAGCTACTGGGCAGACGGCTCCCCTTTTGACCACTATTAACAGTTTATGTTAAAATTGCATTATATATATATATATATATATACACACTAAACATCTATAGAAGTATTAGCATAAAGAAATATGGAATAGTTTAACATGATAAAATTCTAGAAGCTCAACCATTGTTAGATGAATCATAACTCGATCCAAACTAAATGGGTTGACTAGTTGAACCTCTCCCCTCGTTACTAGGTTGAGTGGTTGAACCATCATAGTGGTCTGAAAATAGGATTCAAAGAACGGGTTTCTGCAAGTGACCTGACTCGGTTTCCTTACATGGTTATAGTTCAAACTTCAACCAACCAGGCTAGGTAGGTTTTTTAATTACTGGAAAAAGGATTTGTATTGCTGGGTAACCATGGGTGTCCGGGCTAGCTTGCGTCCATCTCTACCGATTCTATGGAGCCCTGAAGATAACAGCCAAGAAAATCCATAGTGGCCATGAGGAGACTCGAACCAGTGACTGAAGGAGCCATAAGACCTAGCCTTTATATGTGTTTTACGATACAAGTACTTCTGGGATCCTACTTTCAAGTGGGATGTACAGGGTTTGTTGGGTTTAGTTCTAGGATACGGGGTCCAAGTTTCCCATATATCCCACAACAGTAAAGATCTGATTGAAGATGATGGGTAGTAATAAGAAAGAAAGTTTGTTATGAAACAACACTGTATAAACACTACATTTTCACACGTGTTGTATCATATGTGAAACAACACAAACTGGTTTGTAAGTTTGTACGATGTATCGGATTTGTAAACGTTATGTGTGTGTGTATTCATAAAATGTGATGTTATATGATTTTTACTAGTGTTGGTGGTGATCTTTTTGCAGGGAAATCCCCGGAAGGCATATTACTGAAAGGAAAGGCTTCAACTGCTTTTCAAGAAGTCGTCCCAAAACACAAAGGAAGTGGGATTTTGTAGTTTGTTTTTCATAATTGTCGAAATTGATGTATTTTTGTTGGTTTTTTGTCTTGTGAATTAAAAAAACTCTTTTTTTTATGCCAATTTTGGAAGAATTTGTAAGAATATTACCGATGAATGATAAAAACAAATATTGTGTATGCATTCTACGTGTTGTCGTAAGCCATGGTTTGGAAAACGATACTGCTCTTAGGCCATTTAGAACATTTGTTGGACGGTCATATCTAAATGACGGAATTGCATTTGAAATTGATGGGACTGTCGATGTGAAAGAATGTTTGTCGAATATAAGAAACCTACAACAATAGATGGACAACCAAAAAGTAGGAATTATGGGTATATGTACGGTCCAACAACCATCATGCGCGAAGAGAATTGTCACGGTGTTTCTGTTTTAGGTGGATGGTAGCCTTATACCCTGATAGAAACCCGAGACCTCACTTACGATTCCTACCTAATTATCGCTTAGAACAATTTAATGGGAACAACAAAATTAAGGGTTGTTTTCCAAACGCTCCCTAGGAGGTCCTATCATCAAAAGTCACTATCCTCACTTACCTTGTAGGCAGGGCCGTCCCTGGGGAGGGCGGCACGGGCGCACGCCCAGGGCCCAAAAATATCAGGGGCCCAAATTTTTCCCTTAAAATATATAGTAGTCTAAAGGAATTTAGTAAATTAAAGAAACCAAAAAATTGTAGCATATAATAAGAGAGAAATAATTTAGTAGATAATAAGGGCCCAAAAATATATCAACTAATTACATTGAAGAAGAAAATAAAAAAAATTAATTGGTCATTCATTATATGCTATTGTTTATTGCCTCTCTAATTTTTTTTTTATTTCCAACAAGGTCCAATGATGTTGGCTATTGCTATCTCTATATGCTTGACTATTTTCGTACTTCAACAATTCAACGTTAAGATCGTGTGCTTGCTATTGCTATATATTTTTGTTAGATAGTTTTATCAATTTCTATTTTTATTGACTATTGCTATTTGGTTATGTTGTTCTAATTGCTTTTGTTGACTATTGTTATCTATTTTTGTTTCTACATAAAATATTTTACTTTTTTTTTGACAATTAATCTATTGTTATTATGATTTATGACGTGTTTCATGATTTTGTGATTAAACAATAAATTTTTTCTACTAGATGTATTTAGTAATATCTTTTATATATGTCATGTTCCATAAACTTTTAATATTAACATCTTATTTTAGTTGAGCAAAAAAAGAAGRAAAATATAATTTAAATATTTTCATCAATTGTTTGACTTATGTATCTTTCATTGGGATTCCACCACACCACAAGATTCTATTTAAATGTTCAAACAATCATTTGTTGAGCTTGCATATTATATGTTTAATTCATTATTTATTTTTACTAGATCTCAATGAATCATCTTTTCTTTCATATTCTTATTGATTTTTATTTGTCTACTTGTCGATATTACCTTGATAATCTTCTTTATTATTAATCTCTCATTGACCTCACGATTATTTCATTAACACGAATTCTCTTTTTGTATCAAAATAACAAATATTCTTGTTATAAAGTAAAAAATTCTTATTTTTTATAAAAATTTATCAACCATAGTTTATATACTCTTGGTTTAAAATTACCTAATAAGAAGTACGTAAATTTAAGTACACTTTTATATATCTATAATAAAGATAAATAAGATTTCTTTACTCAGTAAATTATTAGCATTTCTTGTACTCAATTTTATACTAATGAAAAACATCTATTGAATTTTTTTTTGTATTTACCGAAGGTCACTACAAAAGTGAGCTTTGAAGATGCGTCTTTTAGCGATGACATGTGTCACAAATTATAGCGACGACATGTTTTTGTTATATACTATTTCTAATGATAAACGGACTTTTAATTAGAGACAACAAAAGTCGTTGCTAAAAGCCTTGTTTCTTGCAGTGGGGCCCCTGTTTTTATGTTCTCCCAGGGCCTAAAAAATGTCAGGAACGGGCCTGCTTGCAGGTAGTATTCTCAGTCATCAAAATGATTGTTGGTAAGTGTTTTTTACTTTGTAAGCACTTAGCGGTTGAGATTCTTGATCCTTATCATGATCAGTTGGTATGATAAATGACACCTAATAAGCATTTTGGTAAATAACCCACAGAAATTGAAATAACTACTAATGAAAAGAGACAAAACACAAAGCATGAATATCTCAAAACCACCTACCATTCTTCCATTGTCTTTTCCTTCATCACCTAATCTTCTTCCAATTAAAAACAAGATTTTATGACCATCAATTCCCTACCAAATTCTAGAGCTACCCATGTCGAAATTACAAAACTACCCTTTTGGTGTGAAAGTTGTTAGTAAATTGATGTGATCATGGTGATGAAGATAAGATGAAAACAGTAAGATGGAAGGAATGTTGCTTGGTCTAGAGGTAGCAAATTGCTTGCATCGTTGCCTCCTCTGGACCAGGCTTCATTCCTTTCAACTTTTGCCTTTCTATTAAGAGAAGATTTGTGATCATCCTTGAATTTTCTCGAGTGTGTCATGCCGACTGTAACTTTTGTAAGTTGTTGATGATCTGTACACTGATATTCCAAACTCTTGATTTGGTACACATAATCGACACCTATAGCTTCATTGCAACAAGCCAATGTCAGTGTGTCGTGCCGACTTTAACTTTTGTAAGTTGTTGATGATCAATACACTGATATTTCAGACTCTCGATTTGCTACACATAATCGAGATTTATAGCTTCAATTGCAACAAGTCAATGTTTTCTTTTGCACAACAATAATTATTGACTAAACTTGGAGTTTAGTAGTTGTTGAGGTTGATGGTTGAAACAAATGGAGGTAAAGTGTTATCTATGCATTACTAAACACACGTGTATTTACCGATTAGGTTACATAAAATAACAAAAAAGAATTATATATAAAGAGAAAGACAGGATTATATAATAACAATAATCAAATAAAAGAATATATATATATATATATATATATATATATATATATATATATGGGGTTGGCTAATGGCACCCCTATTATGTGCTAATGCCACCCCTAATTAGGCTTTAATCATTTGAGTTTTATAAATTTTTGTTTTTTTTGTTTTTTTGTGATTATTACTTTTTATTTTATTATTAATTAAAGAAAATTTTAATTAATATATATTATTTATTTAATTTTCTGTTTTATTTATTTATTTAT